TTTTGATACTCTAACTGTATGTACTTAAGACTTCCTCACCATTTCTGTTTCTTTTAATTTCTAATATATATTGTGTTGTTTTTCCCCATGTTTTATTCTGAATATTTTCTTTTGATCTGTATTCCAATTTACTGAATAACTGTATCCTCAGATTTTTGGTAAGAGCCTTACCCCTTCTGTACCTCATCTCAAACACCACAGCTCAGCACTACTCTCTGCCACGTAACCAAAGACTACTCTTATTACCCTCAATCTGTGTTTAAATTTGTCACCACTGAAGCCCAGGATTCTTAGATTGTTCTTATTCCATAAAATCCAAACTCCTTTTGCATGGTCAGTGAGGAACTTTCCCACCATCTCCTCTATTTTATATTTTTGATTAATTAGTCTGTCTCATTCCATAAAATAAAAGCTCCATGAAAAAAATAACTTTCAGATGTTCAATTCACTATTGTATCTTCATTGTGTGAATAACAGATGTAAGCAATCAATATACATGTTAAACCAGTAAGTACAATGCCACTTGTCTTTTATAAGAAATTACCAAAGTGAAATGTTATAAAAACACCAATCAGAAACTTTACTTTTTTAAAAAACAATCACACAACAATAGGCTGCAAGGGACAGCATAAAAAGTAAGTACATTTAAAAAAATATTTTATTGATTATACTATTACAGTTGTCCCAATTTTCCCCTCCCCCCTACCGGTTCCTGCCATTCCCTCTGGCTATGTGCCCCCACCTTAGGTCATGTCCATGGGTTGTGCATATAAGTTTTTTGGCTACTCCATTTCCTACACTGTTCTTAACATATCCCTGTCTAATCTGTACTTACCAATTCATAATTCTTATTCCATGTACCTTTTCCCCCCACTCTCCCACTTCCCCTTCCCAACTGATAACCCTCCAAATGATCTCTGTATTTATGATTCTGTTTCCATTCTGCTTATTTCCTAGGTTTGTTCTTTAGATTCAATTGCTGATAGTTGTGAATTTCTTGTCATTTTAATGTTCACAGTTTTGATCTTTTCCTTAAATAAGGCCCTTTAACATTTCATATTATAATGGCTTGATGGCGATGAACTTCTTTAGCTTTACCAAAAAAAACCAGGGATAGTCTAAGGATCCTCTGGGACAACTTCAAAAGTATCCAACATCTGAATCTTCATGGTGAGAGAAGGAGAATAGAAAGAGCAAGCAATTGAATACTTATTTGAACATATAATGAAAGAAAACTTCCCTAATTTGAAGACGGGAATAGACAAGTACAGGAAGCACAGAGAGTCCCAAACAAGATGGAAACAAAGAGAAACAACCAAGACAACATCATAATCAAAATGCTATAGGCTAAAGATAAAAAGAATCTTAAAAGTAGTGAGAGAAAAACAGAGAGTTACCTACAAAGGAGTTCCCATAAGACTGACAGCTGATCTCTCGAAAGAAACTTTGCAGACTAGAAGGGACTGGCAAGAAGTATTCAGAGTAATAAAAGACAAGGACCTACAATCTAGATTACTCTATCCAGCAAAGCTATCACTGGGGACTGCAGGGCAGATAAAGTGCTTTCCAAAACTAAACACATTTTTAAAGAAAAAAGTCAATTACAGTTTGAAAGCAGAGAAGGAAATCAATTAACTGGGTATTTTTATTATCCCCCCCTAAACTGATAAGTGTACCACAGCTTTTAGGTTCAAAAATAGTCTTCCACTGCCCAGTTTGACTCGGACTTGCTGACAGAGTGCTGCATTGTTGTTAATGCTGAAATTCATGCACTTGAGACAGGAATTAGACAAGAAGCAATTTAAATTTAGGTGAATCTGATGCTTATTTATCTATGTATCTATTTATTGTTGTTCAGTTACAGTTGTCCCACCTTTGATGCTTAATGCATTAATCTGCTCCAATGACTATTTGTAGAAGCAGCAATTCAGTGCTACCTAAGGCCAAAATCCATCTGAATCCCAAGTTATATCATTGAGGTGTATGGAATTAGGTTTTAAAACCTGCTAAATGGCTTACTCCCTTTCACAAAAACAGTTTTCTCTCTTTAGCCTGAGGGCAAAGATGGGGAGAGGAGTGGGGTGGGAAAGTTGTACTAAACCAAGAGTTGGTAAATAAAAATTATCTTTTATCTACCTCCTTCCTTTGTCTCTTCTGTAAGGAAATGGGTGGGAAAAACTAGGTTTACAGTTATTTGTATGGAAAAGAGTATAATAATTAACAAATGATAATAATGTAAGAATAGACTCTGTGTTTTACGTACTCACAACCGTAAACCTGCTTTGCCCACCCCTGCATCTCTGAGGTGGAATGAAGGCAGTGGCAACATATTTCCACAAAGGGATCTTTGAATTTATATGCTGGTCAGAGTGTAGAGAGCAAATTCCTGTGTACAATGTACTCAAGAGTCCTATCATCCAAATACTTTTGGTCATTATATATATATTTTTCACTTGTGCTCTAAAGGGGCCTAGTAAGTTTCTTTCTACCTAGACTACTAAAATGTTGTAGAATAACTTTTTAAAGTACTTATCACTGGAATTCACTACACTATTCCCTTTCACCTCAGTTAATTTTCTTAATCAAATATTTTAAATTTAAAACTATATGCCCATTGTAAGAAGTCAGAAATTATAAAAAATTAAGCTCTTCTGCATTTTCCCCCTTCATGTCCACTTTCCCCAAAGAAACCAGTATTACCATTCTGATTACTAAATGCCTATCTCTTACTATTCTTATTCAAGTGCGTGTGTGTGTGTGTGTGTGTGTGTGTGTGTGTGTCTTCCATGCCTCCATCAGTATTTACTCTAAAGAGTGATCTTAGACATCACTCTTTACTTGAATCAACATTATGGTCATAACTTCGGATTAGCCAGACAAGTGATATCTGTCACTGTAATCATAATGCTGGGAATAATAATAACTTTGATTTAAAGTTATAATTATAACTACACTATAATTTGCTCATATTTATCATGAATTCCACATAGGCTTAACAAATTTTAAAACAGAGTAGGTGCTCAGAGTAGGCATTTGTTGGATTAAAAAAGAAAAATAAAAGCACAGAATGGCTTAAAGATATAATTTTGAAAATATATTTGATATTTTTCAAATAAAGCAAACTAAAATAAAAGAGCCAAAAATGGGCTATGAGAATATAGTGTTTTTAAAAGTTACAACTTCTAGGAGTGTTAGCTTTTATAATTATGTAACATATAATTGTCCCATGGGATTATTTTCAATAAAAAACAATTAAATGCTAAATGTTAATAGGATACATTAGTAAAATTGGGGCTAAATTTCTGTGAACCTTGTCTCTTTATAAAGGCAATGGCTTTGCCAACTATTGAAATATTACTTCTCATAAAGCTGTTTGAAAAATCTGAAAGAACTACTACATAAGGAAGAAAGCTTCTGAATAGTTAAAAGTAAAAGTCTTGATTCTTCTGTAAAGGTTAGGCATTTTAATATGATCTTTTGGCTGATTTATGTAAAGTTTTGTATTTTTCATTTTCTCGAGCCTGTCACTGTAGTGATGTATGGTACATTTTAGCATGAAGTTTGCCATGAGCAATAAAGTCAGGGCCACCAAAGAAATTTTAATATATGCTCCCATTTTTAACCTGGAGCTTTCCATTGTTCCATTATTTTGTTTGGGATCCCATGTTTAGGTGATATACTTGATACACCCACATTAATAATTTAAGATTTTAACTTAAGGAAAAATTTAAATAGATTAATTATTCGGTAAGAAAGTTTAAGGGTCATCACATACAAAGTGAAAATCTTAGTGATAAATTTACATGAAAAACCTTTCTAAAGATTATGTTTTATATTTCAGTATGCTTGGAGCATTTTTCTCTAACTATAAAAGAAAAACAAAGAAGAAAATGACTTTTATTAAATGGTATGCAACATAAAATGAAAAGTACATGTCTATAAAATTCTGTAAAAAAATGAAGTATGAAAATAATATCATCAAATTTCAAAATTCTAATTGTAGAACTAATAGCTATTACAGAGGGTGTAAAGATATGAACAGTCCTCAAGAAATGTATAACCTAGTAGATGCGTGGGGATACTTTCCTCACAAGTCCCCCCCAACCGCCACAGATGAGAGTAATCATGACGGAGACATGATGTGATCTGCTTGGGGAGGAGAAGTGGCCATTTTCCCAGAGGAAAAAGGCCTTGAGCTCACTCCTCCAAGGGCTTTTATTGAGTTGCAAAACACAGGAATACAGGTGGGAAGGATCAAACAGTAGATAACATTTCAAAGAAATCTGAGGGCTTAGTATAAGTCAGAGTCTGTCGGGAACAGAGTTTTAGGGTTTCCTGCTTGTACCCTTAACATATGAATGAAAACACTCTTAGCAGAGCAGATTTCACAGGTTTATCAGGAAGTCTTTGTGATGCCAGATTTTTCCCCAGGACACGCTCTGGCAAGGCAAGGAGCTGCATCCTTCCCCATCAGATATTCAGGCTTAAGGGGATTAGAGTCAGGAAGCACTTCTCCCAGAGGACATGGGGACTCGGGCTTTGTCAAAGCCGGGGGGTGGGGGTGCGGGGGTGGGGCAAGAGTCCATTGCTCCCTGTTGCAGCCCCCTGAGTCCTTCCATGAAGGCCTCCCAAGTGATCGAGTGTGGCTTAGGTTGCTCCCCGCTATGAGGAGTCTTACCTGTCATTGACTTCCAACCAAGCTTTGGGGGCAGAGAGAGGAAACTGAGGCAGCTGTTTACTAACAGAGATAAGTTTTGTCTCCTGTGGCTGGAATTCCAAAGGTCATCTCTCGCCCTTAGCCACAGAGGGTAGAGATACAATTCCTAAAACCAGGCAGAGCGGTCTACAACATAGATATATTAAGTCCTTAAACAACTATAACATAAAGTTAATGTTTGTCACAAGAATAAAGGAAACAAAGTGTTAGGGCAGGCCATCTGCTGTGGCTAAATGTAGGAGTATTGGAATTCAACCTGGCCTCATGGGCAGGATGTAAACAGAAATAAAGGGAAGAAAGAATAAGTTGAGGCAAGGGAGGAGAGATGCAGAAGGCATTGTAGGAGAGTATCCAATGCTTCTATATTACTGGACAAAAGGACACATGTACAGGAGTTCTGGGAATAAGACTGAAGATGTAAGCCAACACCTTAGGTGGTTCTTAGTTCATGGCTAAGCACCTTCTTTATTTAGAAAACAATATAACACTGTTATGGATTTTCATGCAGAAACAAAAACTAGAATGGAAAATCAATATGCTACTGGAATAGAATATGGGGAAAATGAACGCTTAAGTTCTATCTTGCTGAAAAGTTTGATCAAGATACAACTTTAACTAGAGGAAGGAAATGGAGATGTCACAGTATAAGAGACATATTAGAGCTAATAAAGGACTAGTACCAACTGAGTGTACATGGCAGAACAGAGGCATTAAGAGATGATGTGAACATTCCGTGCCTGAGTTACTTGGGGTAAAACAGTAGGGTTAAGTAACAAAAACAGGGAAAAAGTATACTTGGAGGTAAAAATGAGTTCTATGTTTGTACATGTGAGCTTGATAGAGGCAATCACGCCCAATAGCTAGTCAGAAATAACGATTACGAGTTAAGGAAAAAAGTAGCTATTAGTAGAACGATGAGTCTACTAATAAGAGACTACCAAGTCTGCTAAGAGACTGATGAGTCATCTGCATGAAAGTAAAAAATAAATTTGTTGGAAAAGACAAAAATCCCAGAAAGAGAAAATACTAAAAAAGAAGGGGTCCATAAAAACAACTTGAGGCATATATACATGTTGAAGATAAAAAGCAGGGAAGCTACTGGAGGATATAAAAGAAATCTTGAGAGGTAATTTATGTCAGAATAATAACATGACATATAACCATTAGAGGGGGAATTTCAAAGAGATGGTGGCCAACTGTATCAGGAAAAATTAAGGACTGTGAAGACTAAAAAAAGAGTAAATAAGGTCAAGCTAGATTGTAAATGTGTTACAGAGTAAATGAAAACTAAAGAATTTAGGCAGTACATTTTTCAGATTGGTATTCGAGATATTGCATTTGAGGTCACTATTATTCGGGATAGAGTGTTAATTTATTTGTTTATATGAGTTTGAAATGACAATGTGATTTTGATAAAACATGTGGAAGAGTATCTGTCATTTTCCCCCCTATTATTTATTCATCTTTCTTTTGTTAATTATACTTTGTTTTCCTTCTATAGCATCCCTTTCTCTAGTACCTGGGTTGGCTCAGGAGTAAAGCTAGGGACTTGGGCAAAGCTGTACTCAGGACATTGGGATGAAATGGGATTTCTGGGGAAGGAACTCTCACTAATTCCCTCTGGATCCACAGTAAGGACTTTAGAGCTTATATCTGCAAAAAAAAAAAAAAATACTGAGTCCCAAAGGAGGAAACATTTAACATATTAAGTTATAGCAATGAAGACAGAAAAATGTTTAAGCAAAACTCTGATGAAGGAAAAAAAAACAAGAACCAAATAATGGAGAGATATTCAATGATAATGGGCAAGAAAACTAAAAATGTTAGTTCTTTCCAAGTTGATCTACAGATTTAATGTAATCCCAATCAAAATCATAGCCAGTTGCTTTGTGGATATAAACAATCCAATTCTAATGCTTACAGGGAAAAGTGAAAGTATTGAAGGAGAAGAAACAGAGTAAGAATACTGACGTTACTTGACTTCAAGACATAGTACAAAACTACAGTAATCAAGACATCATGGTATTAGTGGAAAAAAAAAAACCAGACTAAAAGATCAATGGAACAAAACAGAGAATCCTGAAATAGGTCCACACAAATATAGTCAAAGGAGTAGTACCATATAATGGAGAAAAGATAGTCTTTTCAATAAATGATGCTAGAACTGCTAGACATCCACATCTTTAAAAAGAGAATCTAGACCTTTATGTCCCTTTACAAAAATTAACTCAAAGTGAAATCACAGACCCCAGTGTCAAACACAAAACTATAAAATGTGTAAAAGATAACACAGGAGAAAATTTAGATGACCTTGGCTTTGGCAATGATATTGTAGAAATAACTCCAAAGCCATGATCCATGAAAGAAGTAATTGGTAAGCTGGACTTCATTAGAATTTAAAACTTCTCTGTAGAAGACTGCCAAGATGATGGGAAGACAAGCCATAGACTAGAGAACATGTTTGCAAAATACAGGGTCTGGCAGAAGTAACACCACTAAGTGTGGCTGGTAGGGCATGTGAATGTCTCACATGAGATGGACAGAAATTTGAACATTTCACCTAAAATGTCACGTGGAATACTTCAGTGTGATACTGTTATGTTACAGAGTACATGCTTACGCTTTTGTAATAAAAGATTCTGTAATAAGAAAAAGGTATTATTTGTGCTGGACCCTGTATAATGCTGGTAAAACAATGTCATGAAATATACAAAGAACTCTTAAAACTCAATAAGAAAACAGAGTTATATTTAAAAATGGGCAAGTTAGCTGAACAGTCACCTCACCAAAGAACATAGAGAACTGGCAAATAAGCACATGAAAAAAAGCTCCACATCATATGTCATCAAGGGAATGCCATGAATACAACAATGAGATACCACTAAATACCTTTTAACATAGCAAAAGAAAATGCTGACAGCACCAAAAGCTGGCAAGGATATAGAGCAACAGGAATTCTCATGCATTTCTGGTGATAATGCAAAACAGAACAGCCACTTTGGAAGACAGTTGGTGGTTTCTTGTAAAACTAAACATTCTTACCATATAATCCAGCAATTGTGCTCCTTGGTATTTACCCCAAAAAGAGTTTAAAAAAACTTAGGTTCACACAAAAATTTCCACCTGGATGTATTATAGCAGCTTTATTTTTAACTGCAAAATCTTGGAAGAAACCAAGATGTCCTTCAGTAGGTGAATGGATGAATTGGTATATCCAGGCAATGGAATATTATTCAGCACTTAAAAACTCATGAAAAGACATGGAGGAACCTTAAATGCACATTACTAAGTGAAAGAAGCCAACCCTAAAGTGCCAACATACTATATTATCCTAACTATATGATATTCTGAAAAAGGCAAAACTATGGAGGCCAGAAAAAGATCAATGGTTGCCAGAGTTGGGGTGAAGTTAATCAATATTTAGGTGGAGCATGTAAAGTAGTTTTGGAAATGAAAATATTCTGTACAATACATAATATGGATACATGTCATTATGCGTCTGTCCAATGTACAACAAACGGAGAGAGAATGAAAATGTAAACTATGAACTTTGGGTGATTATGATGTGTCACTGTAGGTTCATGAGTTGCAACAAGTGCCACACTCTGGTAGGGGATGTCAATTATAAGGAGACTTTGTGTGCAGAGAGGGAACTGTAATTTTGCTGTGAACCCAAAACTGCTCTAAAAATCTGTTTTTAAAAAATTGCTTAAAAGCAGCATGGTAATACTGAAAAACTGCTTTTTATAAAAATTAGTTATAAAATAACCAGCACAAGTTAATGGTAGTTTTCCTGATTGTGCAATAATGTTGAAACAATGCATATACTGAAAAAAATGACAAAGCACTTGGGTGACACCCAATAGAATAAACCTGATTGGCTAAATAAATTGATTGCCTTTTCATTCTTATTTTCAAATGGCTCTACACCATGATGCTATTGGAAGAGAAGAGATTAGGAAAGAGACAAAGAGGAAAATAAACTAGTGTTATAAAAGCAAAAAAGAAAGTCACAGACGTGAGGGTTGTAAATGCAGCAAAGGTAAAAAAACCAAAACAATACAGGACACACATCATATATAGGACACAAATGGGGAGTGGTAACCAAAGTCAGAGCGAATCCTGAATAACATGGCGATACAATGAACAAGGCATTCACATTTCCCCAATTACTCAACGGTCCTATAACTTTTTCTGAAGATAAAAATGTAATGAGAAAAAGCTGGACATAATAATTGAGAAAATGCTATGTAACTTTTTATATTAAAATGGCAGCTTAGTACACAATGTTTGAAAATGCTTTTTAAGAATTATGTATATAATTGGAAGTTCTGCAGTTGTCGGGCACTGGGGACACCTAAAAGAAAAAAAAAGGGAAATGCACCATATTTATTCAGTATCAGTAAATATCCCACATTAAAGAAGTAACATTCTTTTCTGCAAGAAGGAAAATGGGACTGTGAAAACCAATGAGAGACCAAAACGAGGTGAATAATGAGCTATTTACGTACAGCAGAACATGTAAGGGCTGACGCGTCTAAGGAAGAATTTGGTGGTTTTGATTTTCTGTGTGAGCACAAGGCAGCAAAAGCGGCAGAGCCCTAGAAGGAAGGGGTTCCTTTCAGTGGGTCTGCAGGATGTTTGGGTAGTGTAACTTGATTCTCTTGAGGGTTACCGGCTTTTTGGTAAAAGGTCACCAAGAGTCTTCTTTCAGCCCAATTCAATGATCTCTCTTCAATCCCGTTTATCCTGATTTTTCTGGAGGAAGGACAGCAATAACTATTCACTGCTTTTGGAAACTCCTGCTGAGATTTCTGGGGCTATCATGTTGTCCTTTCCTTCTCCAATCCTCATCAACACTCTTGATTCTCCAGATTCTCTATCATGTATACAAATGTGGGCATGTCTCAAGACTTGGTGATAGAAGGCTAAAGATGCAGAAGACTTTTTCCAATCCTTTATATCTCAAGGATCAGACTTTTTTTTTGTTTTCTTAAAGATTTATTTTCTTTTCATTTGAGAGAAAGAGGGGAGGGGGGAGAGGGAGAAACACTGACCTGAGAAACATCCATCTATTGCCTCCTGCATGTGCCCCGACTGGTGATTGACCCCACAATCTGGGCATGTGCCCTGACTGGCAATCCAACCAGCAACCTTTTGGTTACAGGACGATCCTCTAACTGAGCCACATGGACCAGGGCTCAAGGAGCAGATTTTTTAATCCAGGGGCTAATCCAGATCTTTACCTATTCCATAACACAATTACATTCTGCTGTATCGTGCTAATCAATGTATGTAAAATAAAACTGTCACACCGCTGCCTCATTTTCTATCTTACTTGTGCTTCTGTTCCCTTGGATATTTTTGAAAAGCTTTTATTTCTCCTTTCCTTCTTTCTTAAACTTTGCATGATAAAAATTCAATTCATACTCAAAGGTTTTCCCTAAGCCTTATGGACAACTACCAAATTCTTATTTCACTAGGTAATTTAATATTTGGTTATAAACTATCTTGTCTTCTTTTTGATTAATGTATATATGAGGTCTGTCCAGAAAAAGTCAAGCCATTGTTAATAATATTGATGATAATGGTTGGTGAGACATTGATATAACCTGGCAGCCAAGGAGAGTGGACTGGAACGCACATGAGTGAACAATGATGACTTCACTGTACTAGTCAACGGGGGTTGTAGATGCCATTGAGTGAGCATGTATACTGTGTGGCCATCACATTCACAATGACTGAGCGAGTACAGCAATGAATCTGCATCATATATTTGTATTAAGCCTGAACATTCTTCCACAGAAACTACTGGCATGATTCAGGAGGCCACAGCTATGGGCAACTGGTGATCGGCAGCTTCATCACGACAACATGCCTCCTCAGGTGTCATGTCTCATGCAGAGTTTTTTGTGAAACATCAAATCACCCAGGTGACTCAGCCCACTACAGCACAGATTTGGTGCCCTGTGGCTTCTAGCTTTTCCCCAAACTAAAGTCATCTTTGAAAGGGAAGAGATTTCAGACCATCAATGAGATTCAGGAAAACACAATGGGGTAGCTGATAGGAGAACTGTGTGAGGTCCCAAGGTGCCTACTTTGAAGGGGCACCCTTTGCCTACTGAGGTATCACTGTCCTGTGTACAATGTTTCTTGTATTTTCTTCTTCAATAAATGTCTCTATTTTTCATGTTACGTGACTAGGTACCTTCTAAACAGAACAAGTATGATTCCCCTTTCAACTGAACTACAATGCTTTAGAAATGTAAAAACTTTAGCATCATGTAGTGCTGTGAAAACTATAAACATTTGCAAAATTCTTAGTTGTTGATCTAGGATCTGAAAAAACTGTTAATGCTAAAATAATTTTTTACCCTTTTGTCTGTTGTTATATTGGGCTGGTGAAAAAGTCAACATAGTTTTTTCTGTAAAATAAAAAAAAAGTTTTCATTTTCACCAAAAACTTTATTGATTTGGGTATTCTGAGTAGGTTGGCTATCTCCCATGTGGTATAACACTGACTGTTTTCAATTAATGTCTCAACTGGATTGCTATTAACTTCAACTGGTCTATCTGAGTGTGGAGCATCACCCAGCAAAAAATCTTCAGCAAGAACTTTGCAAACCACTGACACATTCAGTCAGTCACAGTACCTTCTTAATACACTGCGCAAATCTTTTTTTTTTTGCGTTTCAGTTCCACTTTTATCTTTCTTGAAATAATAAACTATAATATGGCAAAAATATTGCATATTTTCTTCCATCTTCAATATTAAAAAGGCTACACAAAAATTCACCAATTTTGATAATCTCTTTTTAATGCATGTTGATATGACAGCTGTCACAATACAATCTAACAAAGCTGTTTTGAATAAAGTTAAAGACAACTAAGTGCTACTAGAGCCATCTTATGGAACAAACCAAATGAACTTTTCGGCCAACCCAATAGTATTATATATACAGAACCAATTTCAGTGATTGTCTCTTGAAATCACTGTGAATCTTAGTTTACTCACCTTGTTCTCCAAGTGCAATTCTAAAAAGCGTAGATAAGCCACAGGTGCAAATGCATCAGCTGAATGTATGACTACTTCTGATGAATCTCTGAAATACAAAAATTTTATAATGCATTTATTTACTAAATAAACTGCGTCAAATCACTACTGCTGTGACTGGAGGAGACAAAAAAATCCTCATTTTTTCATTTTGTATTTATTTCCACTAGTCACAACATTTAGTATTTAACACCGATTTTTAATAATCTGATATTGAACTGGGAGAAGGATCAAGGATACTAAACTTTCAAAAAAAAAGTAAAAAAACTTTTAATCTTTATGAGGACACACAGTTCAACTTTCAGGTTCACTCAAAGCTCTGAACAATTTTGAGGCTTAAAACTCCTATTCAATTTCATTTTAAAAAATTTGCTTGGTATGGGCTAACCATTTAACAATAGTGCTTTATCTTCATTTTTCTTTTCATTTTCAAAAGGTAATTTATTGAGTGTTTCACAGAAAATCTCAATTATCCTTTACAAAAGCAGCACTGGTGATGGTTTTAAGCTCTAGGTGAACTCTTCACACTGCAATATCATTGCTATTAAAACTGATTGCCTGACATGGTAATTACCACGTTCAGGTAAAATGGTATGAACTGCTTGCTGGCACCATATGGATACATGCAAATTAACCTAACTTTTATCAAAGATTCCCTGTAAAGCACATATGAATAACTAAGATTATGTGTGAATGTCTAAGAACTAATTATTTTTTATTGTTATTTATTAAGAAAGCAATAGTGTTTTGCATTTTAACTGAAATTTTAAAATAGAAGTTCCTCATATTTCTTAAATGTCTTGGGACCTAGCTCCATGGTTTATATTAACACATAGTTGGCTTTCTACCCATTGTAGGACAGTAAAATAAATTATTACTTTATTTGATTCTTTGCCACTAACATAAGATATTTTTTGAAACACCTTATGAAATGCAGTTATTTAGTGGCAATGGAAGAAAACTCCAAATATTTGACTCCAAAATACTAACTTTTCATGGGCAAAACCTGTTTACTTTCCCCTTAACAGACTAGAAATAAAAAGAAAATGTTTTGTGATAATAAAAAAGTCGACTACCATCATAAACCATTAGTATCAAATACGCATCTTGTTAGTGCTTAGAAAAATAAAATGAAAAAGGCTTCTATGAAATTAAAAGGAAGATAACTGATTATATAATCAATATAGAATCATTCAAGAGTCACAATAATATCACGGATAGAACCTGCCTTCACAGGCTACATCAACCAAAAGTTGCCTCCAGGTACGACGTGCAGGAGGGAAAAGGAAAATAGAGAGAAGCCCCCTTGCCTTCTGCCTCCTGGCTTGACCTTTCTTGGTTTCTTAGCCCCAGTCTTGCTGTTTCTCCATTTACCCCACAGCTGCCTGTCCTGGTCCCATCTTGGCTCATCAGTCAGGTTCAAATTATAATGCCTGTGTACGATCTCACTCTTACATTAAGTTCTGATCTCTCTGCTCCTGATCTTACTTAGCCTTGGAAACTGACCCTGAGCCTTAATTATGCCTGATCTAGGCAGCTTGGTTTTGATATCCCTGATAATGAAGTGCCCCCAAACTATAATGAATTCAACCAATGCTGTATCAGTAGAAAGGGTTTCAGGCCTTCCCTGTCCCCACTAGAAATAGAAGGTTGATAGCAAATAGCTCGCTTAATTGATGTGGCACTCCATTCTAAATCAAGACTTTCATTCACAGAAAATACACAACATTCTGAGCACTAAAGAAAGAGGAATTCAATTTTTATGGATACTATTAAATCCACAATCTCTAACTGACCAACATCAGTCCACTTACTATACGAAGCCAGAGTCAACTGGGAGAGTCTAGTTCTTAAATGAACTTTTTTGTTTTTGGTTTTTGTAGCTTCAAACAGGATAATACCATTATTGCTCTTTTCTCTTTCATAAACTATCATCTGAAATTCGACTTTCAAGGATCTCTGTTTTCTGTTTATTTCATGTATTTCTCAGAAATGGAAGAGCAGAATCTGCTGGGATAACCCCAGAGTAACCCAGAAAATTAATACCCATTATGCCACAACAAAAATGTTTTCAAGTTGGCTACCCTTCTCCTCTTTCCCTATCAGTACAAGTACCAGTACAACTACCTCTTCAACAACCGAGGCTTCTCTGGAGCCCAGAGCTGGCCTGTGTACACTTTCCCTGATGTGTTGTAACGGCCCACCCCTAGCTAAAATTTCAAAAGGGAAGCTGAGTCAGGTCTCTGCCTCTCTTCTCTGATGCCATGCCCCGAAAGTGTAAGGTCAGGCTCTATTCCTCACTTCAAAACAAACAAACAAACAAACAAACAAACAAACAAACAAACAAACAATTGAGACTCAGCCATGGTCTTGACTCCTCCCTCTCCTCTAAAAAAGCACCTGCAAACTCCCTGTGAACTCACATCCTCACAGACATCTCCAATGTCATTGCTGTGAAGGCGTCCCTGGTATCCTCAGACAGGGCCAGTTTGCTCCTCGATGTGCCTTGGTACTGTATTTATAGTCCTTCACAACACATCCACTGTATAATTTTGTCTTTGTTTACATGTCTTCCTTTTTAGAGAGAGACCAAGTGTTGCTGATTTTTGTATGCCTGTCCCCTCACCCCATCTCTTCCACTGGCCTGGTACAGAGTACATTGTCTGGTATTTATTAGACATTCATTAAATAAACAAATAAATGTATAGTTAAGTTTGTTGAGTGTTTCCACATTTACATACTATCTACTGAAACTATCACAAACCCACACTGGTTTTTCAATTACTTTTCTTCACATAAATATATACTTTTTCCTACATACATACTGTATGTATAACATCCACATGAAAAATCCACACATATATACCATAACACCATATAGCATCTCTAGCATCATAATAAAAGTGAACATTATAGGTCTGAAAACTTAGATACAATAGTGTGTAAATTTAAATAAATTCCCAGGTGAGAAGGGAAGTACTCCATGTATTCTTACTGATAATGCCACATTACTATGCTCTGTGCTGAGTTATGTATTAAATGGGTAGGAAATAGGAATAGGAAAATGAGCACATGGTGTTTTAAAATAGAATTTTGTCCTTCCTTCCTTCCTCTTGCTCTCTCCATTATTCCATCCATCCTCCCACCCATCCACCCATATGTAGCAACTCTGTAGCAGTAGTATAGTAACACTGACAACTCAAATGGAAACGTGTTATTGTATCGAATATTGACATTAGAACCTTGTGTTCATTAACAAAGAGAATTATCATTTTTATTAATACATTAGAATTTTAGTTCTCCTGAGATGTTACATATATATTTAAAGTGTGGAGGAATAAAAAAGGTTATTTATTCCAGGACCTACAGTTGTTCACTTCTCTTGCAGGCCAGACTATAATTCTCTGCAGCAAGGATCTTCAGAAAAAGCTTCATTTTTCTGATCTAAAAGTTTTTATCTCTAGGAGAGTAATCACATACTAATTGATACAAAAAGTGAATTTATAAATGCTCTAGTTCAAATTTCAAAAAAAATTACTTCCAAAGACTGCTATACTAATCTTTCCTATAAAATTATAAAAACATCAATTGGAATTTGGGGCAAAACGTATCTCATAATAAACTGATAGAACCACACTAATTTCTCTAAATTTCTTCATTATAATAAAAGAGTCAATTTGTGTTTGAAAAAATCCCTGATTATAATTAAATCATTTTTGCATGTAAACATGTATTTTTTGGTAGGTGGTCTTCCCCTTTTTATAAAAATTTGAACCAGACACTTGAAATGGAATTCCTGATCATCAATTAGTTGCATGCTAATTGCATCGCATCAAATATAACAAGAAAATTTGTTAGATTTGTCCCAACAGTGGATCTTGAGTTACAGGATCCAGTATCACTAATGGACAATTGTTAACTAACAGTCATAGGGACTAAACTTAAATCTTTTAGTTGTATCATATGGAAAATTACCTCTAAATAAAATACCTGATTTACACTCAGTTTTAGAATGTACAATGCATATTCAGTCACATCACCACATTTACCAGCAGGTATGATAAGGACACTTTCTATTTCAAAGAGGAGCAAAGGTTTTGTATATAGTAAGTAGGTGGCATCCTTTTTCTTTTTAAACTAGGATATGTGCCAACCCAACCCTCTAGTTATAGCCTAAAACAGGAATACATAAGAGTGAAATAGGATATATAAAAATAAATAACAAGAACATCAAGCTAATTCAGCGACATTTAACAAACACGTGTTAGTGCCAACTGTGTGCTGTGAGAGTTCAGGTATGAGAACAAGTGCTGAGGCAACAGCAGCCTTTAAAAATGGCAGGATTTCGCAAAGTGGGGAGAAACGGGAAGGAAATCTAGGGAAAGGAATCAAGTAAGACAGTAATGAAGCTGAGGTGAGGCAGAGCTTTTGAAAGAAAAAGCAAAGAAGACGCTTAAGCATTAGAATCGAATCACAGACCGACTGACAAATGAGTGAAAAGACAGCGCTTGTCCTGGTGCCCCCCGGGCCCACAGCCGCATGCTGCACTCGCCACGCACTGTTGATCCGCCTGACCGTTCTCGCAGGAAGAGCTGAGCAGGGTGGCACACTGCACAGTCCCACCCACATAAGGTGCCTCAGTAACTGAACATTCGGGTGCACTGAACAGCTCTTTTTGGCACTAGAGGCTTCTAATACACCTCACCTGACACCTGTCTCTTTACTGGCACAACAAATTCCCCCCACGCCATTGTGTCGGTCAGGCTTAGTTTTCTTGTCTACAAAGGGAGGTGGACAATATACATTTTCCGGGTCTCAGGTACTATGATAAACAGACCTTCTGGTAACGTAGTGTCAAGAAGCGCATGTCTTACAATTCTAGGTTAACCACAAAGTCTTCTGGGTGCTCTAGGACCTCACCTTGTCAAGTAAATAAGAAAAAGCGTTATTCTTTGGCATTTTTTCTATCATTTTTCTAAGTTGCATTAACAAATCCTACATTAATAAGTAAATATATTGCAAGTTTGCAATTAGACTGTAATTTCATCCTACCGTACAAATGCTTTTCTGAATAACCAGAGTATTATTTCAGAGAAATAACACCTGTGCACAGTTCATTCATGAATTGTTTTGTGATCATCAGAGCTTGAGAAGTATGTTTGATTTATGAACTTATTCCTATGACTCCTACCCTTCACCATCTTGTATCATAACATGTACAGATGTGTCTTCCTTCCGCCCTTGGGCAGCAGCAACTGGGTGAACACCAGTGGTGCCCAGAAGAAAGCCTTGGACATAATAGGTACTTGATAAATATTTGTCACATAAAGTATTATTATGTTGAGGATTATTAATGGAAAAAAGTTAGAGAAAAATGAAAGCAGCAAGAGTGAGTGAATATTGCATATGGTAATAAAAATGTCTTAGCCATGTTTCACAAGGTAAATACATTTTTTAGAAAATTCACCTAAAGTCATCATAATTTTCTTAGATCTATCCTTCCCTCATCATCATTATGTACAAAGAAGTCACCTCTCAGTGTTGAAAATATTAAAGTTGTTCATTCAGTACAGAATTCCAATCTTTGATTAGATGGATTTCTGAAATCAAGCCTAATTCTAACAGTCTTTCCAAGCAGCAGAAGAGCTTCGGAAAAGCGGACAAAGTGCTCTCTTAGCCCGTGAGAAGAGCGACATAAATTAGAGTACAGATAGTGCAACAGACTGAAGAAAGTTCGTTTTGCGTTACACTAATTTTAACAATTTATGGCAGAGAAATCGCACTGCTCATCATACACTGAATTCACTTAAAAACAAAGTTTATTTCCAAAAACAACCCCAAATAATTGAACAGAAATGTTTTAATGTTACCATTCTATGCTGTTAAAGCCAAGGAAAAGGAGAAAGAGGATGAAGTCAATGGGAGCGATGTGGCCGTTTATCAAATGTAGCTGTAATGAAAGGTAAATAATACAGGCAATTCACACTTCATGAGAGGATAAAAGTGTCAGTGTGTAGGTACCAGTTTTACTGCAGGCCGTAATCAGCAAGTAAACGAAAGTGCGATGTCTAAAAAGTTTATAGCCTTCTATGAAGGCCTCATCTTGTCAGGTATTGATTTAGATACACAGGCGACTTCCCTGGCATTAAACAAATTGAGTGTTTGTGAACTTAGAGGACATGTTCTATTTCTCCCAACACAAGTTGCCTCAAGCTTAATGTTAAGTTGCTTCCAACACTTACATTTAATGAAAGAAAAGGTTGAAATGATATCTTACACAATTATTTTTTTCTTAAAGAGAGGGCAATCCAAAGTGAATGTTTCATACTCTCCACCTTCGCCACAAACATGGACTCCGTATTTCTTGGAAAGCTGAAAATAAAAATAAGAAAAAGAAGCAGTAAGCCTAAAATTAGAGAGCAATGATGCTCAATTAACATACTATTTTGTCTGAAAAATGTTTATGTAAGAAATAATTTCAAAATAGATTTGCAAGCTACAGGAAAATAACTTTCTATTTTTGCTTTAAAAATGCATTTAAAGCCATGTGAAAATGTTATCATAAAGCTTAGGATTTTTAATAATTCCAGATCCTTACGAAAAATGTGAGCAACCAACATTTTTATGTGTAAATGAAAAACTTAAAAAATCCTATAAATTTTAGGAATATAGTAGCTTCAGATTTAAAGGGAGGCTGAGAAGGGCAGGTACTAGGTCATTATGTAGGTCACATGAGAATATATGCAGCCAAGCTGTGCTCTCCTCCTGCCCTTTGACCTACATGTGAAAGGGAAAAAAATAGGTAGTGTTTAGAGCCTTTTTCAGAGACAGAAAGAAAGCAATCTAAGGCCTTTTCCTAGACCTGCGAACAAGAGAAGCCACAAACATGGTTATTATGCTTAAGGTTATTGTTAGTAGTAGAGCTGCAAAGGTACTGAGAGCTAGTGAAGTTCTTGTGTGCAGCTTTAGAAAGACCTAACTCCAAAAAAAGTTGGAGCGTATTATGTCATCTTATTAAACCTGAAGTGAAAAACACAAGCAAGCAAAGAAACAAAACCCCGGTGATTTATAGCAATATAAGCTATATTATTTAAATGATGCTGATATTGATGGTAAACTAATCTCCGAACTGGCTGGAATCAGTGCTCAGGAGCCCTCACCAGCTGTATCAGACTCTCTCTGCTCCTGTGTCGGGGCTTTATCACTACGATTCCATTGCCTTCATTCTGAGTTTCATACCTTTCTCTGCTGACAGCCTCTCCTGGCCCATAGTCCAGGTACCTCAAAGGAAGAGTGACTCGACTGATGTTCTCTGTTACGGCCAGTGCTGGGACGGTGGCCCAGGTCTTCAGTTCTACCCGCATACTTACGCACTTACAGATTTGGTTATTTGAATGCATTACATGTCAACTACTGACGACTATGTGCCTTTGGGGATTTAAAGCATGGATCTATGAGAATTCTACTGAGCCATGGAGCAAAAGAAGGGAGGGAAGGAAGACTTCTGTAAACGCAATCAGAGGAGCAAAGCAAGTAAATTTTCACTGTGTCGGGTTATGAAGCGGAGAAATCAGCAAGGCAGAATCGTGGCAGTTGGTTCTTAGGGGAGCAGATAAGAGGAACATTAGTTTCTCATGTAACTACTGTTAAGATAAGCTTTTTAAAAATCATTTTGAACAGATGTGAATGACTTGGGTCATTTCATGGCTTATAAGAACGTCTGGGAGTTTGAGCATGGAAAAAGTAAATCCCTAGTAAATGAGAAGAAAATGACTTATGTGGTACTATTTTTTTCTGACACATTTATATAGATAAATATTCCATTCATAATAACCCAATCTGAATGCTACTGATGATTAAACTGAAAAGGTTAAGGGCATTGTGATTTCCTTGTTTAATTGTTTATCCCTTTAAAAGATGGTAATAATCATAACTCTAAGACTTTGTAATTAAATCAAGGTTTTTCTTCTTTTAAAGCAGCCTTATTTATCCATTAGTCATCTTAAAATTGAAAAAGAAGGCAAATGAAGTCACCCTTCACCCTCACCCTGCCCCCCCCCCCAGAGAAAATGATGAGGTTCCTAAAATCCACCTCAATCCCACGCTACATCTATTCACTCACAGCACTTATTCAAGAGGGGTTTTACTGACTATCTATTGTGGGGTTGGCATTGTTTCAAGTGCTGGGGTTAGCAATGGGAGCAACCAAAAATTATGCATAAAACAGCCTACTATCTGGAGATAGAAAGTTAAACTAGCACTTACAAAAAAAGGTAGTGATAGCTGTAATGGGTGCAGGAGATGCTGTGGAATGTAAAGCAGGAGAACTAGCTGGAAGGAACTCAAAAGACTTCTCAAAGGATCTGGAGGATGAGGAACTGGAAAGGCTAGAGGGAGTGAGGGAGGGACAGAGGAAAAGAGAGAAGATGGGAGAGAAGGAAAAACTGTTCCAGAAGAAACAGCAAATGTTAGGTCCCAGAGCCCGTGATGGGGTCTAGAAACTGAACTAATTTTGGCATAAATGGAGCATCACTAGAGCAGTGATAGTGAGATGAGGCTGAAAACTAGAAAGAAAACATCTTATGGTGCTTCATAAGCCATACTAAGTCATTATCCTAAGGTCAATGAGAACCCATGGACAGGTTTTAAGAAGAAAACCTTGATTTCATTTGTCTTTTAGAAGCACTCTGTGTGCACAGGAGAGAATGGGCTGGTGGGGGAGTAAGTCAAGAAGCAGAAAGAACTGAGAAGTTGCTGGAGAAATCTAGGCAGGAGGTGAAGATTTCCCAAACTGGGGAAGTAGCAGTGAGGATGGAGAGGAGAGGGCAGATAATTCTGAGAGAGAGATTTTTTGGAGGTTGAAATAATGAATTCTTGAATAGAGAAGCTTAAAAAGAGAGAAGAGGAAAATTCCCAGCTGGATGGATGGTGGTTCAGTCTGCTGGTGTCTCAGCACAAGCAGCAATTTGCTGGGAGGGACCAATGCCCTGATCCTTTCCAAACTTTATGTGGCATGTGATACCACTGATGCCTGGAATCTTTGCAATTACTTCCTCAGGCTTCCATGATGCTAAATTTTCTAAACTATTGTTACGCTTCTCAGGCTCCTCTCCCTCATACTGTTCCTAAACTATAAATATCCCTCATCACTGTCTCTGTAAGATATTCCTCTCTCAATTTGCTCCTTTGGACAGTTCATGCCCGCTGTGGCTTCAAGCACCACCTTTGTGCTATTCTGCTGCTGCTAATAATAACGCCATCACTACTATATAAAGACTGTTTGCTTTATGCCTTAAAGTGGATAAAATGATCCTCAAAGCGACTTTTAACAATAAAATATCATATAGGCTCTGAAATCAGATAGATTTCAAATTCCAGTTCTGCTACTTCCCAGCGACGTGACTTTGGGAAAGTACATTTCGGTAGGTACCCTCTAAGTGATTCCTCACCTATAAAATGGAAACTTTAACTATAGCAACTTCTCATTTTGTAACATGATTAAGCAAAATCATACATAAAAAAGCATTTAGCACAGAATATGGCACTTAGTAGGCACTTCATAAATACACAGCTTAACTGTGAAAAGAGGGAAGCACATATTGTGGTGAGGCACAGTGAAAGCAGCGTCACATACACAGTTACCAGCAGTAGTTTTGGAGACAGTCCTTGGTTCAAGTCCTGGCTCTGCCACTTTCTGGCTGTGTGATCTTAGGCCACACAAACTCTCCGAGCCTCGGACTGCTGATCTGTAAAACGGAGATGATGCAGGACCTACTTCATAGGAAAGCCTAAAGTGCTGTCCAGCCCATAATAAATAAGAAAATAGCCACTAGTTTTATTCTTCCCTTTTTCAGAGAGGAGAACTAGATTGATGTGCAAAGGTTTTGTAGTTTAGCAGTAGACAAAAGCAGAATTTAACGTCCTGTCCTGACTCTCTACAGAACGACGACAGAAAACAAACCTTAAGTCTCTTAAATGTGCTCCAACCTCATAGTTTAAAAACATATGCCTTTGGTTTGTTATCATTTAAAACTCAGTATGTTTAAAACCAAGCTTATCTGTTCTCTCTACAAATATACGTGCTTCTAATCTCAGAGTCATTATGCATAGACCAATCTTTGATTCTTCCTTTCCCGGCTTCTGACAATTTGGTGATAATTTCTTTTTAATCCTTTCATCACAATTGTGCAGTGGTGTTCCCTACCCTGCCCTCAGTGACTTCACACTCCAAGCTCTCACATCGGTTTTGTGCAGCAGCATTTCACACTCGTTTTTCCTCCCAGTCCGTGAATACCACAGCCAGACTAAATTTCCTGAGATATATTTTAATATTATAAATCCCTGCCGTTAAGCCTTCTATATCTTTTCATCTCCTACCCCAGATCACCTGGCTCACCTCTAAAGGTCCATTAGGAGTGGGTACTAAATCCCCGCCTTACGTGTTTCTTGCTAATCTACCACTATAAGCTCTTCGTTTCTTTTAAACCAAGTTTCTCTTCGTCCCTGCATGTCCTCTTGCTGAGGTACCTTCATTCAAACTGATTCACTTTGTTGCCACCACACATGTGAATTTCACCCACTCCTTCAAACCAGTCTAAGTGCTACCCTTTCCATGACATCATTTGTAGCTACTCCAGGTCCGGTGGCCATCTTGCACCTTCCCCCCATTTGCTAGACTCTACATTCCATGAAAAATTCCAAATCTTTGGCTTATTTTGACCTCCTTATAGCAATTAGCATAGAACTGAGAACATAAGAAATCCTTACCAGTACTTATCACTCAATTCAATTAGTACCACACGACACTGGCAGTTAAGAGTTCATCTACAACACACACTCAGGAAAACATGAGGGACGTGTTCAAGGACGTACCGGAACAGCTGCTGACCGTGGAGGCCCTCCTTGTCTTCCCCTCACTGGCGCCAGCCAGTGGACACCTCTGCAGGTCAGATTCCACACGCACACCTTTCGGAACTTCCCTCCCTTCCTCTACAGCCTTCTGCTTTTACTTCGTTGTTTAGATAATTAATCCATCTCTTCAACGGTCAGAATCTTTTACCATTTAGCTTCAATCTCCTTTTTCAGCTTCTTTAACCAGTTCTCAAAATATATTACAAACAATCTGGCCAGTTAACAACTCTATCCACCTTTTAAGTCCTGTATGGCTGTCAATGTATCTCAAAAGTACTAAGCATTCTCTCAACATGTGATTTTTAAAAAATTCTATGGCACATCTTTTTTACTGCTCTTAAGAGTACATTTAGTAATAGTTACTGGACATCTCAACTATAAAATTTCCTATACCCTTCTAACTCAGTTATGTTCAAAATGCAAAATACTGTCAGAGATGTTCTGCCTACTGACTCTCGGGG